GTGTGGTTATGGATCTTTGTCAAGTCTTAGATCAGGAGTTGGATGCTTTGGAAATTGAAACTGTTCAGAAGGAGACAATCCATCCAAGGAAGAGTTACAAGATGAACAGCTCTTGTGCAGATGTTCTCCTCTTTGCAGCTCATAGATGGCCTATGTCAAAGCCTAGTCTTGTGGCAGAGTCCAAGGACATGTTTGATCAAAAAGCAAGCAATAAATATTGGATAGATGTACAACTCCGGTGGGGAGATTATGACTCACACGATATTGAGCGTTACACACGAGCCAAATTTATGGATTATACAACAGACAACATGTCTATTTATCCGTCACCTACTGGTGAATTTTCGCCTCTATTCCCCCAATACTTCCTACTCAGATATATGCCTTTGTTTTCTCCGGCCTGATCTAATAATCTGCTGTCATTATGTAGGGGTGATGATTGGCCTAGATCTGGCTTACAACTTGCATTCTGCATTTGGTAACTGGTTCCCTGGATCAAAGCCACTGCTTGCTCAGGCAATGAATAAGATCATGAAGGTAACATAACATAGTTTTTCTGATTTAATTTAGGTGGATAGGTACTTAATATAATTTATAATTCAGATGTTTGAAGTTACATTTGTTGTTAAATACTAGTATAGGTATAAATGTCAAGGGTTGGGACTAATTTTTTCTTTATCCTTATACAGTCAAATCCAGCTTTATATGTTTTAAGGGAGCGGATAAGGAAAGGTTTGCAGTTGTATTCTTCTGAGCCTACTGAGCCATATCTTTCATCCCAAAACTATGGGGAGATCTTCAGCAACCAGATCATTTGGTTTGTTGATGACACCAATGTGTATCGTGTGACAATCCATAAGACATTTGAAGGGAATCTCACAACAAAACCCATTAATGGTGCCATCTTCATATTCAATCCACGTACTGGACAGTTGTTCCTAAAGGTTTGTTTCTGCATATAATATTTCCTTTCCAAGCTAGTTTGTCCATTGTGAAGATCCAAACTGGTAACATATCGCTCTTGCAGGTCATTCACACAAGTGTGTGGGCAGGTCAAAAGCGTCTTGGTCAGCTTGCCAAGTGGAAAACTGCTGAAGAAGTTGCTGCTCTTGTGCGGTCTTTGCCTGTTGAAGAACAACCAAAGCAGATCATTGTTACTCGAAAGGGAATGCTTGATCCTCTGGAGGTTCACTTACTGGATTTCCCTAACATAGTTATCAAGGGAAGTGAGCTGCAACTCCCATTCCAGGCTTGCTTGAAAATTGAGAAATTTGGTGATCTGATTCTGAAGGCTACGGAGCCTCAAATGGTTTTGTTCAACATCTATGATGACTGGTTGAAGAGTATCTCATCATACACTGCATTCTCCCGGCTCATTCTGATCCTTCGTGCACTTCATGTCAACAATGAGAAGGCAAAGATGTTATTGAAACCTGACAAGACAATCATTACGGAGCCACACCATATCTGGCCTTCTCTAACTGATGATCAATGGATGAAGGTAGGCATTATTTTTACTCATAATGCCAATTAGTTTTAGAAGAATACATCCTTCATCTCAACGCAGTACACTAAAGATGATTTCCTGGTGCAGGTTGAAGTTGCTTTAAGAGATCTCATACTCTCTGACTATGCCAAAAAGAACAATGTGAACACATCAGCCCTGACACAGTCTGAGATTCGCGACATTATTCTTGGAGCTGAGATTACTCCACCCTCTCAACAGAGGCAGCAGATAGCGGAGATTGAGAAACAGGTTATGTTCTATTCTGCTTGTCTTTTTATATATGATTGCTAATTTAACTTGGCTTTATAGTACTAAACTTTTATTTTATTTATTAAAAAAAATCTTATTAACTTAGAGCTATTATTTTTCGAACTTATACTTTCAGGCAAAGGAGGCAAGCCAGCTGACAGCTGTGACAACTAGGACTACTAATGTGCATGGTGATGAGCTCATTGTCACCACCACAAGTCCCTACGAGCAAGCAGCATTTGGTTCCAAGACAGATTGGCGTGTTAGAGCAATATCAGCTACAAATCTCTATCTTCGAGTAAATCATATATATGTGAACTCAGAGGACATAAAGGTATACATATGACTTATTTGATATCGATTAATTTATCTAGAAGCTTATCTTTCTGCTGACATTGATAAAAATAAATGATGCAGGAAACTGGGTACACTTATATCATGCCAAAGAACATTTTAAAGAAGTTCATCTGCATAGCAGATCTCCGAACTCAAATTGCTGGATACTTGTATGGAATAAGCCCTCCTGACAATCCTCAGGTTAAGGAAATTCGCTGCATTGCCATGCCACCACAGTGGGGTACTCATCAGCAAGTTCATCTTCCATCAGCTCTTCCTGAACATGATTTCTTGAATGATCTGGAGCCTTTGGGATGGATGCACACACAGCCAAATGAGCTTCCTCAATTATCGCCACAGGTTGTATTTAGTTTATTGATGTTCAGTTTGAATGGAATATTTCAGTGCTAGTGTAGTTTATCCATTGCAAATCAAATGTTCTAAACTAATTGTTATCACGCATTTAATAATCACAGGATGTCACAGCCCATGCTCGGATTTTAGAGAACAACAAGCAGTGGGATGGAGAGAAGTGCATTATCTTAACATGCAGTTTTACTCCAGGTTCTTGCTCATTAACAGCATACAAGCTTACTCCTAGTGGTTACGAATGGGGACGGGTTAACAAAGATACAGGAAGCAATCCTCATGGTTACCTTCCAACTCATTATGAGAAGGTGCAGATGCTCTTAAGTGATAGATTCCTTGGATTTTATATGGTAAGATTATCTATCTCATTGACTATTGTTCTTGAACTTCCCAATTCCCATCCCTTATTATTAGATACTTCTGAATAGGAGTGTAAATAATACATTAGTGCTAATAAGCTATTCAGATTCGATTTGGATAAAACTTGAATTCGGCTTGATCATTGTCGAGCTAAGCTCAAGCAAGAGCAACTCGACTTATCAAGTGAGCTAAGTTTGAGCATTCTAATTCTTGGCTTGAGTAGCTTGTAAGTCTAATTGAGCTTTTATATTTTAATATAAATTTTTATTATTTTAACTAGAAAATTATTATTTTACTTTTGCATATATATGAATTCGAGTTTGAACACAAATAATTGAGTTTGAAGTCGAGCATGGGAATCATGCTCTTTTTTTATTCGATAAATGAGCTTAATTGAACAAGCTCAAGTTACTCGACGTTTATCTCCGAGTTGAGTTTGAATTTGAAAATTAAAACTAAACCGAGCTTGAGCCGAGTTTCTTGCAACAAGTTTCGGTTCGAGTTCCAGCTTCTCTTTATATTGACTCAACTCAGTTCGATTATACTCCTACTTCTTAATTTTGATGAAATATATATAGATTTTTATCTTATAGAGTGTCGTTAAACTTAGACAATTTGTGTATTCATGTCTATTTTGTGTCAAATACATGTAAAACACGAAAATTGTCATGTCAATTCGCCAAACAAGAAACATTAATTTTTGGTTTTTTTTAAACCCATATATGGATTTTTGTGAAAATTTTAAATGGTCTTTTTCGAGTTTTTTTTCTTATCATCTGTCAAATTTACAATTATCAGGCCTCAAGTATTGTTGTCTAAAAACTGTGTTTACTTTGTTATTTTTATAGGTTCCTGACAATGGTCCATGGAATTACAATTTCATGGGAGTGAAGCATACAGTTAGCATGAAATACGGGGTGAAGCTTGGGACACCTAGAGAATACTACAATGAGGACCACAGGCCAACTCATTTCCTCGAGTTCAGCAACTTGGAGGAAGGTGATACTGCTGAAGGAGATCGAGAGGATACGTTTACCTGAATCTGTTCATGTTACCCTGTATGTAGTTTTTGCTGAATTAGCTCTGTACCTTGATCTTATGAAACACTACACACTTTTTTCAGTGGTGGCCTCAAAATATTAATAGAGGCTTAAACATTCTGTATGGATAGTTGCATGTGCTTTATCCTAACCGTAACAATGCTGAATGAGTTGTAAATATATATATATGAGCAAAGCATTTTGATTTTAACTCCTAAATATTTCTTACATTATTACCATTTTCAATTCATTGGTTGCAACTTGCAATTTCCTGTTCTATTATTCCAGTCTTTCTGCATTGCCTAACAATAGGAGGAAATATTTGAAGTTTGAATCCTCTTCTTTCATATGGTTATTTTAAGCGTGATACGATGGTACAACATAAAAATAAGAATGTATTTTGTATTAGATTTGTCAATATGAATTTGATACAAATTTTTTATATTTTACATGCATTATATATGAGTTAGATAAAATAAATGTATTTTGTTTTCGATTTGTCAACACGAATTTAATACAAATTTTTTATTTTTTATATGCATTTGATACGATACAGTACAAATACACATTTTTTAAGTTTACTTTCATCTGTTGGCCTCTTTTTAAAAAATAATAAAAAAAGTATTGCCACCAGCAATGAAGTCGAATTATTTTCACATTTCAAACGCCTAATCTCACAAGCAGCAAACTCAAAGTCTGTAAATGCATCAGACTTTTGAGTTTATATGAAAACAATAAGAAAAGGAAAGTTGGCCCCCCAACATATCCCATAGCACTCATAAAAACATGCTTTGCTGGCAATTCTAATAATGGACAGCCAATGCCACCACTTAATAAGTAAAAAAGGAAAAAGGAAAAAAAAAAAAACAAAAAACAAAACCAAAATATCAAAGATGCAATACTTCAATTTGTCCAAGGCGCTAGCCTCCTTCCAACGGTTTTGGATCCTTTTCTTCCTTGATTATGTCCAAGCTCTCTTCAGCAGCCTATATCCCATCATTACAAATAGCAGACTGGGGGTTCTTGAACAGTCCCTTATTTTCCAGTTCAGCTAATTTCTCTTTGGACTCTCCCTTGAGCAGCTCGAGTAATTCAAGCATGGTAGGTCTTTTCTCGGGCCGATTATCAGCACATAAAGGTGCCACAAGGACAACCCTTTTCAACTCCTCTTCCACGTACTTCCTATTCAACCTTGGATCTGCCACTTCACAGAAGTTCCCTTCACAAGCCAGCGGCAGAGCTGATTCTGCAATCGAGCGTTTCAGTGTTGCAGTCAGTTTCTTAAGTGGTTTCTTACCACTGGCAAGCTCTAGCAAAAGAATGCCAAAGCTGTGTATATCACAACTCTCTGAGGCTTTTCCTAACAATTACGCAATTCCCTCAGTGGAGCCCGTTGCAATATTCATCCTTCTGGTCCAATAGGATTAATAATACCATGGAGGTCAATTACATTTCCTCCAGCTATTACGTTTGTTTCCCTATCTTTATAATCTATCAATAGGGCCACTTGTCTCAACTGTTTTCATTGTGCCTATTATGAGGGAGTATTAAGTGCTGTTTCACATCATCTTGATTTGGGGTTTGTTGCGGCTTTATCAGGTTAGCCCTTTCAACTATTGCTGGACTCAGGTTGGAAGTTCTAGACATCTGACCTTATTACCAATCCCAGTGGAAAGAAACTCCTCCACCATTACTCCAACAAAGTGATACCTTTTCTGCCTTATTAACATAAATATTTGCCAGGGAAAATAACAGTATCCAGGCAAGGAATGTATTTGCACGGTAGAACAAATTTTTTATGATTCAAACAGTTTTCACAAATAGTAAACTAGATTCAAACTAAAGTACAATGCACGGTAGAACATTCAATATTACCAAAGTTTTTGTCAGACTAAACAACAGAATTTATTAACTCAAATCTCAAAAGAGGACCAATCATACATAAGGAAGAAAAGGAGTGGACCATATACAGGTATAACTATGTATAACCAACCATTCTTTCAAAACTTAAAAGTTAAGGAAACATAGGATGCCAAATTAGTAATTTACTTGTTAAAAGAACCCAAAAAGGAAAAATAATTCATACCTGTGATCCATCCAATAACTGACACCAATAAACACTGCCAAATCCCCCTTCTTCAAGCTTGTTATCATAATTAAAATTATCGGTCGTTGAATGCAATTCTTTCATTGAAAAAATCCTCCATGTCGGTTGCTTCTTTCCCTTCTCCTTCCTGTAGAATCATATAACCTTAGACATTAAAACACGACCAACAGACACACGAAGCAACAAATAAAGTAGAGTAAAAAACACTCAATTTGACTGCCAAAAGACCTTGTTCTTATAATATGAAGATCAACATATCCTTTTTAATTTGACTCCAAAGTAAGAAAATTTAAGCTTAGATGAAAACCAACCGCTATATTAAGTTCATATAAGTATCTTCTTTCTCAAATCACAGTTCCAAAAGGGAAGAAAGTTCAAATTTTGTCCTTTCTTGGAAACCAAAAAAAAAAAAACAAAGGAAATGAAATTCTAATCAACACCCAGATGATAGTTTCAAAAACTAAACAAAACCCAGATTTCTTAAACCCTTATCATTCCTCAAAAATCCAAAATCAAAATTCACTCAAAAAACCCAACAACACCTTGCAAAAGAAAGAAAATTTCGAAACTAATAAAACAGTAATAATAGGTAGTAAATCAATGATAATCTTACCGATCCATGCCTTTCCCACAACAAATCATAGAGCAGAACGCCACTACCAAACCAAACTAAAAATCCAACTCTTTCTTTTTGTTGTTCAACTTCAGTTTCTCTTTCTAAGCAGCAAATTCTGAAGGGATGCCAAACGTAACGTTTTTGGGCAGTAATATTTTTGGGCAGATTCCAGGGTTTTCTTTAATTATTATTTGTTGTTTTGGGGTTTTGATTTTGCTTACGCGAGAATGTTGCAGTCTCAGTCAAAAAAAAAAAAAAAAAACGAAAGCAGAAGAAATGGAGAGGAAGAGTATAAGGCCGCTCAAGGCTGTTTTTAATGGGACGGTTGCCAATGCCGCCGTCGCTGGTTCCACATTGAGCCCAAAGGTTCCATTTTTATTTATAGTTCTATTCATTTTTCAAGAGTTCCTTTCGTTCCGTCCCTTCATAGTCTAACATCTTTCTCCACAATTAAATAGGAGTTATTTACTTATATTGGTATGCATTTTTTAAGAAAATAAAGGAAAAAAATGTAAAATCATTAATTTTTAAAATTCAGTATTTATGGATATTTATATTTAGTTTTTAATTTTTAATAAATATAAAATAATTCTTATAATTTAAATTTAGTATTTATTAAATTAACTATTAAAAATTAAAAATTTAATTTTATAAGAATAAAGATTCACTTACGTTAATATAAATGTTAAATATTTTTATTTTTAAATTAAAATTAAAATTAAAATATTTATGTTTAATATTTTATTTCAATGATAAAATATATATATATTACATTAATATAAGTGAATTTCATTTTATTTTTTAATTTATAAAACAATACCTTAAAAGAAAATCCAATAGTCCTCGGTTTTTTTTTTTTTTTTTTTTGCGTTTTGAATTATGGATGCTTTACGTTAAGTAACGAGAGATAATCCTTTCATTTTGGATTGAACCCAACTCTCTTATACTCAAAATTCAAACAAATTGCTGAATGTTTTTGTCTATTTCAAACAATAATATCCAAATTTATTCTTTTAATGTACTTTTTTTAGAAACAATTTTTAAATTTTCCATACAAAATTAATATAATGATACATAATAAGAAATCTCAGATTTTTTTTCAAAATCTTGTTTATAAAAATATGATTATCACGTTTGGTTTACAAGTATTTAATTCATGTGGTAGTATTAAATTTTCAATAGTATTCAAAAATTTTAAAATTAAAATCTCATCTCTCCTTATAATTTTTTAATATTTCAAAAAATTATTTTTATTCCACATTTTATCAAAATAAAAAATTTTTATTCTATTTTATCTCTTGAAAATCATCGTAGGTAAAAAAACTTTTACTTAGTTTTTTATTTTCAAACATAGTATTTTAAAAAAATATTATGTTTTAAAATAAAAACCGTAATTTTTTACTAAATAATAATATTTAATATTATAAATGCAATATTTGTTAAATAAAATTTTTAAATTTTTAAATAATAAATATAACATTTGTTATGTACAAAATAATACAAAACTACATTTTTTACAAAACAAATGCCGTTTTTATTAATGAAATAAAAATTCAATTTTTAATAACAAATAAGATGTTTCATTGCTAATCGTAAATGTCATGTTCACTTCACATGGTCCATATTTGCTTCAAACTGACGTGCATTGTTTAGCAAGTGGATGAAGATCAGGCCCGCAACATACCTATTGCTTCTAACATCAGATTTTCTCTCGCATTTATTGTGAAATCCTGTCTCTCGAAATTATATGTGATTTTTTATCTATTAATTTGAGTGACAAGAAGCATAATTTTTTTTAAAGTAAAATTTTAATTTTGAGTTTTAAATAAAAAATAAATCTTAAAAAATTTATTTTTTTTATAAAATTCAATCTGATTCAACTTTAAATTAATCAAAATTCCAAGTAATCAAAAATTTCAGACCAAAAATATATATGATTTTATGTCTTAGGATGATATAATTAACGAAATCCACCGAAGGTGGGAGATTCCCATCGCAACCTTGCCCACCGGGGAAGAGCGGAGGGACCACACCACAGGAGTCCGAGGAATCATCTCTTTTTATTTTGTTTTATTTTTTTGTTGGACGAAGAAAAAGAATCGTCAAATGATTTGTCGATGATGCACTCAAAAGTTGCTATAAAAAGTTGGGCGATAAAACGATCACGGGTGCGGTTTTCCATTGACTACAAATAAGTAAAAAGTTGACATAGCATAGGTAAAAGACTATTTTATATATTAGAAGTGGAGGTATAGGTGTAAAATAGGTTATGCAAATCATAAAACAATATAATTTGATATGATATGAATTGTATTTGATATAATTTATTATAAAGTAATTGGATTAAGTCAAATACAATATACATGTGTGATATTAAATTAAAAGATTATAAGTCTATGAATTGGCATGATATGATCTGTTAAAAGTCGGTATCATCACGTGGCAAGTGGAATGTAAGCTAATAACGCTCAGTACACTAGTAAAATCATATCATGTTGACCCATAATTGTTATAAATGGATTCCAAGCATTTGAGTGTATTTATGTTATTTTTATATTACAATAAAATTATATTTATTTTGATATCTTATTAATAATTTATAAAATAAAATTGTATTAAATAAATTTACTTATTAAATATTTAAATTATTAATAAATAAATTATATTTAAGTTGTGATTAGCAAAAATAAAATAATAAAAATAAATTAAGACTTCAAGTTAAATACAAATTTAATCAACAAAGTAAATTATTATAAGATGAGAGGTATAAAATAAATGCACAAGATAAAACACATTCATAAATGAATCATGATGATGAGAATGAAAAATAAAATAATAATATTATATTTTATAATATCTTTTATATGTATATGTTTGTGTGTTATTTTTAATATTAGTATTATAATTTCATTATTATTATGAGTTTATATTTGATACACTATCAATAAAAAATTTTAATTATACAAGCAAGGCTAAGAGGGTGACATATGTCTCATTTCTTTTTTTAATTAAATGTTTATATTTTTAAATATACTTTAAAGGACATGCGTAAACCTCTTAACCCTATTTATGTGTAATCAAAATTTTATACTGAAAGTATATCAAATGTAAACTCTATTTTTATTTAGTGAATGCTATAACCCCTTTTCATGGATATAAACATTTTGTTGATCCATGTAAAATATGTGTCCTTTTTATTTCATTTTATTTTTATTTTACTTTTCAAATAGTGGATTTTTTTTAAAATTAAAATTTTGAAAAACTTTAATGGATTGTGCTTGGTCCATCTAGCATAAAAAACAATGCCATGCTTGGCATAGTACAATTCATAAAGGTTACAAGTTATATCCTATACTAGATTATAACCTTAATTTTCATGGACCGTGACAGTACGGCATGTTAAAAAATAGTGCAGGAACACTATGATCTATTAACACATAAATTAATATTTAAATAGACTGTACCAACTCAACTCAGCCTATTTAACACCTCTAAGTTGAGGTTTTTGAATTTCATAAGCATTATTATTTCCAAAAAAAAAAAAGTTATAAGTGGTATTAATAAATTAGCATATATTTCTTAAGATATATTAAAAATAATATAAAAATTAATTAAAAAAACAAAACATCTATATGTTTTTAATCTTACTTGTAAAGTCAAAAAATTAATTGATTGTAATAAAATGATAAATGTTTAATTTATGATAAATTTAATTAAATTTAGAGGTTTTTTATTTTAGTTTTATTTTAAAGTAACCATAATTGAATAATAGCTTTTTGGCATTTTTTTACAAAGTAATATTAGACATAGACATACTACAAGAAAGAAAACAAAGGAATAAAATAACAAAAAGTTTTTGAATTTTATTATTTTTATTAGAAAAACTTTTTTATTTTTTATTACATCCAAATAAATTTTTGACTTTAAGAATGTATTTGGTGCATATAATTATAGATAGAACAAATTATTGTCGTCTATCATATGTTTTGTGCACACATAAAGGGAATGATTAAATTATAAAGAGAATTAATTATTCTTCTTGTCATAGGATAACTCATTTTTTCAAAATATGAGGGTTATTGCCAATGAGACATTAGCTTAAGAGCAAGAAAGAGGCCCTAAAATAGTAAGATTCTAGGTTCAAGTCTCATTGTATGTGAGTTTGGTTATTTATTTATATTCTAGTTTATTAGTTTATTATTTAGTTATTGTAACTTGATTATTATGTAATGGTTGATTATATAGATGTAATACTTGATTATAATTATATTTAATAATTGATTTTATGCATAATATACTTGATTATAATTCTAATTTTAAAAAAATAAGAGAAAGTTTATTATTCAGTGATTGTAACTTGATTATTATGTAATGATTGATTATATAGATGTAATACTTAATTATAATTTTATTTAATAGTTGATTTTATGTATAATATACTTGATTATAATTATAATTTAAAAAAAATAAGAGGATTATTTTTAATCGTATGAGATTAGATAATACTGAGTTATAAATTATCTATTTTGCTTTTAAAACTTATATTTCAAATTTGACTTAAATATTTAATAAGATGATAAATGTCATTATTTAATTGGTTAACCAATCTATTTTTTTTCCTTCTTTTCATTTTTCCTTTTTTTTCCCTTTTTCCTTTTTCCTTTTTTGCTTTTCCCTCCTTTTCTTTCTTTATTTTTTCTTATTCCCTTTTTTTCTCTTTTTCTTTTACTTTCTTGAATATATAAAAAATATAGTTTTGATAAAAATTATTTTTTTGGTTTTTGGAAAATTAATTTACTTTTTTGGAAATAATTGGCTTTAAAATATTTTTTAGTAAAAATAAATTTAATTTTTAACCATTAAAATATTATAAATTAATATTTTTTTAATAAATAAATTTTGATTTATTAAATTTAATTACTTTTTCTTCTTTTTTTTTCTTTTATTTCTTCCTTTTGTCCTTTTTTATTTTTCTCCTTTATCAAGAACGAGAATAAAAGAAAAGGAAAGTAATAAATAAATAATAAATTTATATTTTTGATAAATTTTTAAAAAACTCAACTATTTTTAGGAAAACCTTTTTTTTTTAATTTACCTCTCAATTATATAAATTATTTTAAATTTAAATTATTAAAAGAAAGAAAATAAAAGGAAAAATGAAAAATATTTTTAATTAAAATTAAAATTTTAAAAATAGTTTTTTAAAAAATAATTTAATTTTTTAAACAAGTGATTATTTAACTTAAAATAAATTTTTAAAAAATAAATTTAGCTCTTATCTATAGAAATTATCATAGAATATCTATTTTTAATTAAAATATTTGTATTATATTTATATAAAAATTATAAATTTAAATTATTTTTATTTTAAAGAAAAGTAATTTTGATTAATAAAAAATTATTTTATCCTACTCTTAATCTTTCCCATAATAAAGATTGTAGAAAGGAAGATAAAATAATCTTAAGTACCTAATCTTTATAATACAAAATATGAATTGATGCATTATATATCTATTTATAATGTTATATTGACTTCATATCCATAATCTTATCTGTCCAACACACCCTTAATTTTCATACAAATAAGCCGTTAATATATTATTTGTATTTAAATAAACTCTTAATATTTATTTATATCTAAATAAGTCCTTAATATAAATTAATATTTTATTTGAAATAATAATTTATTTAAATAAAAATAAAAAAATAAATACTTATTAGATATAATAAAAATATAAACACTTATTTTAAAAAGTAAAATAATTCGACAACTTTTTTAATATTTTAACAAAAACAAAACATTAGGGCTAAATGGGCATTTATAAAATAATTTAACCTAAAACACCAACACCTTCAGCCCTTTAATTTTTGCCTGCAGCTTTTGTAACCTTGAACTATCCCTAATCAATAATCATAAATTGATGAGCTATTCAAGTTTGGATACAGAGGTTATGTTTGATTGGTACAAATATTTCTTTTTTTATGCCAAAGAAAAGGGTTAATTGTCTGGATTGATGATGAATTGAATTTAGATAGGTTATTTTGATTAATATATAATATGTTATATTTTTAAAATTAAATCTGAATTTGAACGAATTTTTTAAAATTGAACTGATTTGAATATTTATATCCTTAATCGAATTTTAATATATAATTCATGATTTCCTTTTAGACATAATGCTAGGCTTTTGTTTTTCTTGATTGTTTGATATCTTGGGTTCAATATGTTTGAAGCCTTGAACCACATATGTTTCCTTCTGCATTACAGGCCAATCTGCTGTAGTTGGTAGGCCTACTAATGATTGATACAAGAAAGGGATTCAATAGCTTTATGAGCTCTACAAGACAAAGCTGAAGAGGCTTCTGTCCCAACATTATATGTATTTGTCAGTCCAAACAGATATACAAAGCAAAAGGAAATGGATGTATAAAATCTAGAAGAATGCCGACGTCTCTCTTTGAATCGTGATCGACGGACATATGAATATGTTTTGTAGTTCAACTGAGAAACAATGCGGTCAGAAATTAGCATAATTTTCTTGCTTTCAGATGGTTTATTTCTTCAATTTTCAATTACCCCCAACTGCATTTCCGATTATTAACATATGTGCTAACTTTGTCATTAAATGTTCCAGCTACCTCTGGACCATCTATTGGAAGGTATAGCCAAGAAAAAGGGCTCCTTAATTTGTTAGCTGTGCAATTCACAGCAAATTAACACCTCAACTTAAGCAATTGACTTTTATTATGCAAAATAATTACAGCTTTTAGTTCTTACAGATTAAATTTCTGGTTAAGTTTTGTTGCTATAACTGCAACTGTACATCATTTCCAAGCTAAGGAGACACAAGAGACCCCTCAAAACCAATGTGTTGATGTAATATCTGGTCTGATGATCGAGGAGTTTGTTAGAAGTTGAGTTAGAAAGTGTGTCAGATCTGTCATAAAGAAAAACGTCAAGAGGCACCGAAAATAATATTTTGAAATGTATTCCAGCACTTAAATCAATCAAGTATAAAAAAAGGAAAAAAAGCCAAAAAAAAAAAAACAGAAAATATTAATAGAGGAAACAAAAACAATGTAAAATAGAGATTGATACATACCTAGTCTGATTCTTCCTTTTATTCCTTATGATGATAACGTGATTAGTTGAACATGTAATTATCTATCTTGAAGTTTGTATGAGCACTAATAATGTGACAATTAGAATGTTGACGTGGCCATCAAGTTATAACACAACGCATGGCCAATACATTATGCGAAGAACAAGAAAAGGCCAGAACCCTTAATTCCACAAAACTTAACTTCTATCATGGCTTTCAGTTTTGTCTTGTTCTTGTAGGATCTGAAATGAATATCGGAGATCAGGAAGGAGATTATTATTATTATTATATAACATATGCAATAAAATGGTTAATGAATTAAATCATTCTTAATTAGCATAGAAGATGAATCTAATGCCAATCTTTGTTTTGATATTGGAAAACATTTATAATTCAGCTCTGGTTAATGTTTCAATTCTCAAACTCATCTTACAGCCTCCTATGGGTTCCAATAATTGTCATTGGCGTCAATCCAAGGTCTTCGTCTGCCTCATCACGTTTTTTGAATTGAAAACGTGGACGTATGGCACATCATAACTACTTCAATGGAGAAGAGGCAGATTTATGGTTTGTTGAGATTTTAAATGTTCTACAAGCTTGCAAGAAGCTGAATGACTTGACTGCAAAAGGAGGGTTGGTTGGAGCATTTCCTTCAATTAAAGAACAATTGATTCATTTATGAGACAAATACTAAGATGTACAAAACTGTAATTTACAAGCCTTTCTTTTCCCCTACTGAAACAAAAATTGGAACAAAAAAAAAAATGTCGTTAACTGAAAGAACCAATCAGAAACTGAAGTTTTATGAACTGCTCCAGTTGATACATTCATTGTTCTCGTCATGTCATCAGGCATCTTCAAAACCTCTATTTGCATTTATAACATAGTCCTGAATTGTTATTAAGCCTCAGCTTTCTCCCTATCTTCTACACCCTTTCTCTTCCAAATGGAACAGTGCCAGTTAAGTCATTGTCATTCAGCCTTGGTTCAATATCATTCTTCAAGTCCCTGAAGTTGCTTGGAATGGAACCATTGAAGTGGTTTCCATAGAGATACAACCCGACGGTTCGGTAACCGAACTAATGACTCCGGGATCGGTCCATGTAAATTCATGTTTGATAAAACTAGGATCATTAAATTCTTCATTCCGTCAAAGGAATCACTAGGAATGGCAGTTGATTCCATTAGATTGCCTTTGAGAATCAAAGCTTGGAGGGAAATTAAGCTTATCACTGATATTGGAAATGGGTTGGACAAGCGATTATAGCTTAAATCCATAAGAATGAGCTCTTAGCCCACCGACTGATCAGATATTAGGCCGGTTAAGCGATTATGGCTAAAGATCAATTTTAACTAAAGACTGGCATGACCCAAGGCTTGATGGGATGGAGCCCATTAGAAGATTTAGGCTCATTTTGAAAACATTCGAAACTAGGAAGCTAAAAGTAGGAATTGAATAGGTTAAATTTGTTCACACTCAAATCCAACGACCTTAGACTAGAAACCCGGCCTAATGAAACAAGAATCGAACAATTGAGATTGTTGTTGTGAAGATCAAGAGCCCTTAACCGAGTTAGATTACCTAGGTCACTAGGAATTGGACCAACATTCCCATTTTCCCTAAGGACTAAAGTTTTGCAAGGTTGAACCCAATTGACCCAAAAACTTTGGGATTGGCTGATGATTGTAGCTGAAACAACGGTAAAAGAACAATGTCCTAATACGAGGAAGCTGGGTAATCCACTCTGAAATATATGACTGTCTGGTCACAAGTAGGGAAAGCCGTGTCATCGGACAACGCCCCGAAAGACAAGGAGACAACGTGGTAGACGTTATCTTTGTCCGGCATGCACTCGATGCCATGCCAACGCCCACTGCACACGTCTGGGATGTCCGTGGCTCGCATTATGTCATAAACTGGCTCTTGCTCTCGAGGGTTGGTCCGAGCCCCATTCTTGTTCATTGAAAGCCCCGTTTGTGGCCCTTCAATGAGGGTAGATGGGACGCCAGAATCCGACATGATGACTGTAAAAGGCTTAGCAAGTTGGAAAGAACATAATAAGAAGATGAGAAAAATGGTGTGCAAGGAGGAGAAATATGGAGCCATTTTGGGGAAGAGTGAGAGAGTGAAATTGTGGGCTTGGACTTGATATAGAGATGAGGTAAGGGAGTTAATGAGAGAGGTCAGGTTATTGAATGAATGAAAGAGTACAAAGGAGAGAGGTTGGCGACTAGAATGATGTAAAGCTAATTATGGGTTCACGAGAAATGGGGGAGTTGAAATAAATTGTGATGGAATTTTTACTTCAATGCTTTTCACGAGAATTTTGCCCCTAGATTCCAACCAGGCCGTTGCCTCACTATAGTACATCTTTCGCGGCAACTATTTATGTGAATGAAAGAGAATAAAATAGAAAATAGAAACTCTTTTCCTAAGCCCGTAGAAAAAAAAAAAGTTAAACATGAGAACAATTTTAATTCAGGACATAAATCCCTAATTTATATGGAAAAAAAAAAAGATTGACGTGTCCTCATGTTTTTATATAATTTTTTATTCTTTTATTTGGTTTCAACTTAATCTTATTAACTAAGTTGGTATTCACCAAGTCCAATTTAATCAATGGCTTCACTTGTTAGTATGGAAGGTATCATCAATAAACAGAAGAAAATAAGAGATTCATCCTAATTTACCCTTATCAATAGAGAAAATAAGGCTGCAAAGACGTTTTTCGCTAAAGCCTTCACAGACGCACAGACTTAGCTGTGCAGAACACTTCTCTATCAATTCATTTAGATATTGTGGAGGAATTATTGTGATATTGCCTATCAGCATTTGTAAGATCATGGGCAGAGATTGGAACAGAAATCCTCTCCTTACCGTTTTATCTTGATTGATTTAGTCATTAGCTCCATCTCTTGGTTTTCAGTATTGAGCTGTAGAAAACCTTTATTACAGATCAAATAATGAGCCTGAGAAGAGAAATAGAATAATTATTTCTAAGAGATTGTACATTGTAGAAACCAAAAGGACTGAGAAGGGAAATCAAACCCAAATGTGAATCAATAGCTAAAAATAGTTGTACAACAAGGCATCAGTTTGGTAGGATGCTAGAATCCAGAATGGCACTCAGAAATTAAAGGTGCAAATATATTCTTAAATAGCAGGATATGGGTGTTTTGAACACCTATCATACACCTCAATAAGTGAAGTTAGAACATCAAGCATAAAACCAGTGCAGCGTTACTCTCTATCAGATATCTTACTCCTTTTACGAGTTGCTTTCTTCTTCATATTACTAGCAGTTATAAGTTTATAATGAGAGACAGGCATTTCACTTAATTGCCCAAACCTTTGCTCATAAAAGTGCCACAGCTCTGCCCTGATCAAACATGTTGCCAATGGAGAAAATTAAAAATTAGTAGAGAGTTACCAAAAGTATGCAGGAGCAAAGTTTTTAGATGACCTACCAATACGCCAGGAACTGAAATGGTGCATATTTTGCATAGATAACTTCAACATCCCTTCCAACGGTCTGTATTGTAGAACTCTTTGAATGAACCTGCAATTGGAATAAACTGTTATAGGCAGCAGAAAAAGAAAAACCTTCAACAAGCTGGTAGGGAATAAAACGAATGGTTTACCTGCTTTAAATGCCTGATAGTTTCAGAATCAGCTGGAATCACGTGGTAAAATCCCATGCACATGAGCACATTGGCACATGTGAAAGGACCAAATCCATCAATTTTACGCAGCTGTTCAACTAGCTTATTATAACTGGATAAGCTTGTTTCATTGCAATCTTCTTCCAGTTGCATTAGTTGAATATTGCCTTGGACAATTCCCTGGGCAAGTTTTAATATTCGACTTGCTCTATATCCAAGATTACAGCGTTTAGCAAGAAAACTTTCATCAAGGTTAGCTAGTTCTTCGGGACTGGGGAAGGTTCCAATTTCTTTGCGGGCATGGGGTTCTTCTATTTCTCGAGAAGGCTGAAAATCTGACTCTGAATGATCTGCTTTTGCCTCTGCAAACTTGCTTTCTAATGGCATGGAAACTTTGGACACTCTCGACTTTCTCTTTAACTCTTTCCCAGCGGGAGTTTTAGGAATGAAATCATCTTCAGCAGCCTTTACACTAGAAAATTGGTGTTGAATTTCAAACTGAAGCTCACAAAGTGCCTTAGCCATGCTCAAAGTCCTTGAAAACCTATAATTGTTGCGTGGGAGGCATCAAATAAAGCTTCAAAATATAGTTTTGAAAAATCATATGACACCAAATTACTATATGCTTGGTTGAAGTTTAAGCTATTTCTTACAGCGGCATTATAGCATACAGGTGACGGGCAACGCCAGAAATCAGTTAATGATAATAACAATGGCATAGTATTACGAAGTAAAAGTGTACAAGGGGCATACTGGCAGTTACAGAGAAGAATACACTTGACCATATCTTCAAACAAGGTAGGGGACCTGAACACTCTCCCACTGAAACTCCTCAAGCACTCCGTTGCTTCTTCTTCTTTTCCATGTAATGCTTCCACAATACTTCGAAACTCCCTCACCTTGTTTCCCTCGGCCTCCGACAACCGCAGCATTCTTGCCACCTGACTTAAAAGAGAGTGGCGGTGTTGTGGAGAGAGGGAGCGTGTGCCGTAAACGCGGAGGTGGAGAGTGGAAGAAGTGGGCGGCTGAGAGATACGGACCGTGACTGTAAGATGAGGAGAATGATGATGGTGATGATCAAGGAGACGTAAAGGGCGAAAGAGGGAACGAGAGATTGGGTCCCATTGGTTGGGAGCCAACATGAACAGCCCATGGCTGCATACTGCCTTCTCTAGATCGAATACCTCCGCTGCTTCGCCTAGTGGAAACTCTACCAACACGCTGCTGCTATTGCCATTGCCTTTGCCATTCTCCTCCTGCCACTTCTCCATTCTTCTCTGTCTCTTGGCTTTTTGTTGGTTTCAGCATTCACATTTCAATGGCTATTTTTTGCTCTGAAAGAATGGAGAATTCTGTTCAGCTGAACCGCTACTTATTGTCAACTTATTTTATTAGGATATTTATTGTCGACTTTTTAGGTAGGATTGTTTCTATCCTGTCCCATCTCACGAGGCGGTTCTAAATTTGAATAAATTGTTTTTTGAAATTCATCTGAATCAAATTTTATATATTTATTTTATAAATATTTAAAATATATAAAAATAATAAAAATATTTAATTAAGTTTAATTCATTTTTTATTTTTTTATTTTTTGATTTGAAATTTAATTCGATCTTAATATATATATTTAATATTCAACTTTAATCAAAATCAAATAAAAAAATTAATTCAAATCGATACTAAAATTTTGAATAAATTTTTAATTTTTTCAATTTTTTTCTTACCCCTACTCCTCACAATGTAATTTGTCCCTATTTATAATTTAAAAAAAAAAAACTAACTTTCCCTGTTGCTTAAAAACAAAAATCTATAAAAATTTTAAATTTTAAATTCAATCCTTTTAACTATTTTGGGATATGGTGTAAATTTATCTTATTTTGTGAGTACTCCAATTTTACTATTAATCTTTTAATTTATACATGTTTTTAATAGGGATAGATTAATTTATACCAATGTAAAATATTTTAATTTTATATTTTTTTAATTATTAATTTCAATAAATTTAAAAAATAAGAGAAAAAAAGTAAAAAATAATTTAATTTCATCTCGAATATATTAAAATCAAAAGTTAAAAATAAGCATAAGAAAGTGCATTTTTTTTTAACTTGATCTCTCTCTTTTTTAATATATATATATACACTTAGTATGAGATGATCATACCAATAATGCATAGAAGATTAAGGTGAGTGTCAAATGAAACGTAATTTTAAGACTTTTACTTTATTATAAGGGCTCCAAAGATTTTTATGATTATTATATATATATATATATATACTCGAAATAATTTTTCGTTACGTTAGGATAATTTTTTTGTCAAAATTTATTATTATTATTATTATTTAATTTTTTATTACTTTTACTTTATTATAAGGGCTTCAAAGATTTTTATGATTATTATATATATATATTATAAATAATTCCTTGTTATGTTGGGATAAATTATTTTTTGTTAAAATTTATTATTATTTATTAATTTTTTATTATTACAAATAATTTAAAATATCTTAATACGTAATTTAATAGAGATATTATATTAATTTTCCAAAAAGAATGTCACATATCAACATTTTATTTTCAAAAAAGAATGTCATATGTCAATTTTCTATGAAATAATTATAAGGGCATTTTTATAATTATGATATAAGACATTATAGTAATTTTGATTAATTATAATAAAATAGAATATTTTTGTAATTATGATATGAGGGACATTTTCATAATTATGGTAGTAAAGGCATCATAATAATTTTGTCAAATTATGGTAGGAGGAATATCATCATAATTTTAACTAATTTATGATAAGATGAGTATTTTTGTAATTATAATAAAAAGATATTATAATAATTTAGAACATGTGTCAACTCTTAATTAAAAAATCATAAAGGCGTTCTAATAATTCCAATGAGATTAGTAATTTAAAACATAATTAATTTTATATTATGATAAAATTTAATATATGTAATTTACTTAAAGTATTACAATAATTTTCAAATAAAATTTCACATGTCAAAATTCTATGAAATGATGATAAGAGCATTTTATTAATTTAATATGTGATTAATGTTATATTATTATGTTAAATTTAATATGTAAATTAAAATAGGAATTATAGTAATTTTCAAATAAAATGGAACATGTCTACCTTTTATGTAGCAATCATAAAGACATTTTTGTAATTATGGTAAGGAACATTATAGTTATTTTGACTAATTTGGTGTAAGGGCATTTCACAATTATGATAAGAGGACATTTTTGTAATTATATAGGAAAGGCATTATAATAATTTTAAGCTAATATGGATGAGGAACATTTTCATAATTCTTACATAAAAAATCATACTAATTTGTCATTTATAAGATGGGTATTTATCATTTAAGACATAATGGGCATTAAAGTGATTTGACATTTATAAAAGGGGTTTTTTGTCATTTAAGAAATGATGGGCATTATAGTAATTTATTATTTAAAAGAGGAAACCATGATAAAGGTATTTTAATAATTTAATATGAGATTGATTTATATTATTATGTTAAAATCTAATACGTAAATTAAAAGGAATATTATAGTAATTTTCAAATAAAATGATATATGTCAATTTCTTATGAAGCAATTATGAGGACATTTTTGTAACTATGGTAAAAAAATTATAGTTATTTTGATTATTTTTGGTAAGAAGACATTTTCATAATTATGATAAAAGGATATTATAGTAATTTTAATCAATCATGATAGTGAGACATTTTCATAATTATAGTAGGAGAGATATTATAGTAATTTTAGCCAATTATAGGATGAAAGGCATTTTCATAATTATGATATAAAGGTATCATAATAATTCGTCATTTATAAAAGGGGTATTTTTATCATTTAAGAAAAGAAGGGCATTATAGTAGTTTATCATTTTTGAAAAAAATAAATATATTTGTCATTTAATATAAGAAGGGCATTGTCATCTTTTTAGATAGGTGTTAAGCAATTGGTAAAAAATTAGAAAAGCAAAATGGTTATTTTGCTTAGAGTTTACTTTTATATATAGTTTTAAATAAATAAATAAATAAATATATATATATATATATATACATTGCAAAAGAATGGAAAATATCATTTACAATTTTAAAACTTTGGTCTTACTACCCTTAAAATGTCTTTTACATAAATTTAACAATTCTTGGTGGTGTATCAATTAGTACATAGTGATTTTTGTTTTAACTGTCCAACTAACCATATAATTAGCACAAAAATTAGTCTCTCTAAAGATATGATGAATTCTACAATCTTAATCTATGTTGAGTAATTGTTTTCATAGATTAATAACATGGTAAAAAGTATCATTTGCATGCAATGAACTCATAATCTTCTTCACTACCAACAAGAAGTCAGATTCCATAGTTAGTCTTTGAAAACCTTGATCCTAAACTAACATTAATCCCATTCAAATAGTATACAATTCAACCTAAAGAATCGAACCATGTCCAAGTTTCTTAGAGAAGCCAAATGTCTAGTATCCATTAAAATCCCTTACAATACCTTATTTAGCTAACTCTCTAGGATTAGATGATGAATGCCATCCACATTAATTTTAATATAGGAAAATGGAAAAGGTTTTAAAAGAAACCTGCTTAATAAAAGTAAAGCTTCAGGATTTTCGAAAACAAAGAAATTCTCTAGCTTTAACCATAACAATATTAACTACACAACTCTATCAAGAAAAACTCTCTTCAAAATTGCACTTATTCTTTTCCATACATATTGCAACCAAATGCAAATACAATAGGCTAAGGCATCCCATCATTTAAAACTTTATTTCTAGCTAAATTAAACATAATTCAATTCTGCAAAGATAGAGAATTAAAATGATCAAGTAGAATCATAAAGTCAACAAGTCCATAATGTACCTTAATATTTAAACAATCGCTAAGAAGGTGCAATGCCAATTTTATTGGGCTTTCACGTCTTAGATAAATAATTGAGTTAGATATCCCTCTAGCCACACAATCTTTCCTTGTAAATAATTTGTTATGCTTTATTAACCAAATAAAGAATTTAATCCAAAGTGGCATACTAACTTTCAAATCTTTAACCAATTAACATTAGTATAATGATCACTTAGCAATAACTTATAAGCTGTAGATATAGAAAAAAATCATTTGAAGCAATAAACTAAATCAACTGATCTTTTTTATCATGAGATAAATGAACCGAAAATAATTGCTTTTCAACCATTTTAGTTATGTCTCCAATTCTATTGCAATCCCAACAAACACTAGAATTCACATAATCACTAACACAATACATGTCATCTAAATCAGACATTACTCAATTACATCTTATCTTAAAAGATTGTCCAACTAACTACTTATCACTCCAAAAGGAAATTTAGTTTTTATTAAACATAAGTTATATCTTACCTTAAAATATCGACCAACCAATCACTTATCACTCTAAAAGAAAGTTAAGTTTGTATTTATGAACGGGTTATTTGTTGAGGTGAGAAGCATTGCAAACAAGAAAAACAGGATGTACTAAAAGATGGCATAAAGAAAAATTAGAGTAGATCCTGAAGTATTGAGTGCAATAGTAGGTGATGATAGGTGGTGAAGTAAAGCTGAATAGAGAAAAGAATAAGGCCCATAAAAGGATTTAGGAAGAAGGATTATAGAGAGAATTTGAGAGAAAGTTGTGAGAAATCTGCCAAAGTCCCAAACATCCCTCATGAATTGTGAAAACTCCTATTTAAAGTTTTAAAAATATAAGTAACATATATTAAGTATTGAATAGAAATAATGGTGAATAATGGGAGAATTGACTATTACAAAATATATTAATGTATTATTTAATGAGAGTTTAATTAGCTTTTTGGCAATAGACATAGTGAATATTAAAGTTTACTATTTGTTCTAAAATAAAAGAAGAAATACTCATATTTCAAAGAAAGGTTCAGGAAAATCTATTAATTATCTCCATATTTGATACACCAAGCCAAGTTCTCTGAAAACATCCCAATAGTGGAACTAATCTAAGAACACTGTCATATTCTGGGGTTATTTTCACTTATTTTTTTGGTGAAGTAACATTCGATGAAGCATATTTTGTGTAATAACTTTTAGTGAAGCAATTTGTGTTTCAAAAGTTTATAGGAAAGGTGTTAGCATTATTTTTTGAGGAAGTTATTCCAGGAATGAATGTTTCATGAAAGTATTGTTTTATGAAGCAGTTGTTCTTTGAATAGTTGTTTCGTGAACAGCTGTTCTATGAAAGAATTATTCCATAAAATATTATTCACTGAAACAATCTTATCACTTATTTTAATTTATATTCAATTTAACAACTTTAGAAAAAATTGTAAGAATAAAATATCAGTAATCAAAGTCAAGTATCTACACCATTAAACACAAATTTTTCATAACATTAAACAACTAAATCTTTACTCCATAAAATACTTATCAAAGTATGCCAAGAAT